CAAATTTAACATAGTGCCAGGACCCTTCAATCACGCGTCGATGGTCTAGAAAATTACTTGCGCAGATCCGTATAGTACTGTAGACGTAATTTTTCCTACAGGATCTTTCGAGGGATTTAAATTTTTCCTTAATTTATAGTTCTTAACGTGTATAAATCTAACATCCAAATTTTCTCGCCTCCTTTCTTGGAGGTGTAACTTTCGCTTGCTTTAACTCTAAAGGCTCCAAAATTTCACTACCAAAATGTGGGGTGTTTTTTTTTCGCAAAGCTCAGGTCCAATGCGACCTGAGGCGGTACGGCAAGCCCGCTCATGACTGACGTTGCGCGTCTTAAACTGTGGTGGTGGACCTTTCCTATCATTCGACACTATTTTTACCCCTCCTATATGTTACGTGATGGCCCGTTTGGCCGCCCATAGTTGTGAGGTCACATTCCTCGTACGTTGAGGTACACTGTTGTTGTTCAATAAGATGATGGATGAACAATGAGCTTGTGTGTAGCCTGACTGTATTGTTTACATATGAGTGTCTCCATCACGATACATGGTGGCAACGTGTTGTGGAAATTCCGAAGAACCATTTGCAGTACTATAGGACATAATTTTATAGTGTTTCTACCTTTTGATTTGATAGCAATTTCAAATGTCTGTACACGAAGGTCCAAGCTCGAATCAGGCTGACAGTGACGGTCAACACCAGGCAAGTCAGGTAAAATCCCGCATTAGTGTACACCCGCCTGCTCCGCTGCAGTTAGAAAACAGTAATAATGCAGAAGAGTGGAAGCTATTTAAGCAGTTATACCGTAACTACGAAATTATCTCCGGGTTACAAAATGAACCTCCAGAGTTTCAGTTAGCAGTGTTCCTCAATACCATAGGAACAAAAGCCATCAAAATCTATAATACATTTAACCTCGGTGAAGCACCACCCGTCAGTGAGGTGATTGTTAGGTTCGATTCACACTTTTTAGAGACAATCAGTATCAGTGTCACATATGAGCGCTATAAGTTTAATAAACGGGAGCAACGAACGGACGAAGTGATTGATACATATGTCACCACACATAAAGAGCTAGCTAAGTCATGTGACTTTGGTCCATTGGAAGATGACTTAATTCGAGAAAAATAATCGTCGGTATTAGATGTGATAGAACGAGAAAACAACTCCTAGAGCAAATAATTTAACATTGAACGATGCAGTTAAAACATGTAGGTTAAATGAGAGTACAGAATCAAGGATGAAGTCCATGGCAGTCAAGGATACAATTAACAAATTTAACACTGACGGTAAAAGTGGTAAATGTCACACCAAGACTCCAGATAAGAAACTTAGATCCTGCAAATTTTGTGGTAAATCACACATATGGGATAGAACCAAGTGTCCTGCTTTTGGGTCAAGGGTAAAACTGTTGCTTATGTCCATGAGTCTCATGCAGACGAGTCAAGTGATGACAGTGAATGGATCGGTAAGGTAGAAGATAAGCAGCAGAATGATTTAAAATGTAAGATGAAAATTAACAACCAGGTCATAGTATTTAACATAGACACAGGAGCTACAGTGAACACCATTCCAGTTCGATATGCATCAAACCTGAGACGTGAGGAGAAAACGTTAACAATGTGGGACGGGTCGCAACTCAAAACTTATGGTGTCACCAAGGAAGCTGTATATAATCCAGCCAATGGCAAATATCATGACCTTCAATTTGTAGTTACCAAAAATGATAGAATCCCATTAATTGGTTACCAAGACCTAAAAAGGCTCAACAACATAGAACGAGTAGCACTCGTTCAATTGGAGGATTTTCAAGGTATTTAATAAGACTTCCATTGGCAACCTCCCAGGAACAGTAGCTCTCGTCGCCAACGCTGAAGTGAAACCTGTTATAATGCCTACTAGATGAGTACCGGTAGCGGTAAAGCCATAATTGAAAGCAGAGCTGCATAGATTAGAAACACTTGGTGTAATTTCTAAAGTATCACAACCTACTGAGTGGGTTAATGCCATAGTGGTTATTCCTAAAAAGTCTGGGGACACTGGACGACACGTTACATGAGTTAGGTCAGTCAACGATTTTCAGTAAAGCAGATCTTTCATCTTGCTACTGGTATATTACGCTTGATGATGAGTCCAGTTTACTTACTACGTTTCAGACAGCCGTTATAAGTTGAACCGATTACCCTTTGGCCTATCCGTATCGTCTGAGATGTTCCAGTGGAAGTTGCTTGAAGCACTTCATGACTTGAATGGAGTAGTATGTGTTGCAGATGACGTGGTTATTCATGGATCAACGAAAGAGGAACATGACAAAAATTTGCACAGCTTCCTCGACCGATGTAAGCATGTTGGAATCAAATTGAATCCTGATAAGTTTGAAAAAGAATTGGAGGAGATTACCTTTATGGGTCACAGAATAACCAAAGAGGGATTGCAGTCTGATCCAGAGAAGATTAAATCCTGTCTCTTATACACATCTAGATGTGTATAAGAGACAGCTTTTACAGTGTTTCTACCTTTTGATTTGATAGCAATTTCAAATGTCTGTACACGAAGGTCCAAGCTCGAATCAGGCTGACAGTGACGGTCAACACCAGGCAAGTCAGGTAAAATCCCGCATTAGTGTACACCCGCCTGCTCCGCTGCAGTTAGAAAACAGTAATAATGCCGAAGAGTTGAAGCTATTTAAGCAGTTATACCGTAACTACGAGATTATCTCCGGGTTACAAAATGCACCTCCAGAGTTTCAGTTAGCAGTGTTCCTCAATACCATAGGAACAAAAGCCATCAAAATCTATAATACCTTTAACCTCGGTGAAGCACCACCCGTCAGTGAGGTGATTGTTAGGTTCGATTCACACTTTTTAGAGACAATCAGTATCAGTGTCACATATGAGCGCTATAAGTTCAATAAACGGGAGCAACGAACGGACGAAGTGATTGATACATATGTCACCACACATAAAGAGCTAGCTAAGTCATGTGACTTTGGTCCATTGGAAGATGACTTAATTCGAGAAAAATAATCGTCGGTATTAGATGTGATAGAACGAGAAAACAACTCCTAGAGCAAAATAATTTAACATTGAACGATGCAGTTAATTAAACATGTAGGTTAAATGAGAGTACAGAATCAAGGATGAAGTCCATGGCAGTCAAGGATACAATTAACAAATTTAACACTGACGGTAAAAGTGGTAAATGTCACACCAAGACTCCAGATAAGAAACTTAGATCCTGCAAATTTTGTGGTAAATCACACATATGGGATAGAACCAAGTCTGTCTCTTATACACATCTTTGAAGCATGAAATGAAAAATAGAGCGCATAAGAGAAATATTATTAAATAAATAATATACCATTCCGGCGTTATTGAACTTGTCC